TTGTGTAGGCGAAGGTGGAGGGAACGTCTGCTTTGTCCGATGTAGTGTTTTTCGCAGTTGGCACAATTTATTTTGTTGATGATGTTTGATTTGTTTTCCGTTGTTATTTCATCTTTTGGTTTGCACAAGATTGATTGTAGTGATTTTGTCGGTTTGTGTGCCACACCTATTCCGAAGGTTTTCAGCAGTCTCGTCGCGGTTTCTGATATTCCTTGTATATATGGTAGGGTGATCCTTTTGTTGATTTTTGTGCTTGACTTGAGTTCTAATGCTGCGTGCGGTTGGTATTTTTTGATGAAGTTGGTGGGGTAGCCGTTCTTCTGAAATACATCCTTTAGGTATTTCTCTTCATTTCTTCGTGCTCCCAGTGTGCTGCAGTGTGTCCTCGCCCTCTTGAACAAATTGTGTACGCAGTTGATTTTGTGCGCTCTGGGGTTGTTGCTATTGTAGTTGAGAATTTGATCCGTATGGGTCGGTTTCCTATATACTTGAGTTTCCAGTTTTCCTGTGTCGGTTCTAGTGATCAATATATCCAAGAATGCTAGTTGGTTGTTTGACTCCTGTTCCATGGTGAACTTGATGTCATCGAAGACGTTGTTGATCAGGTTGTAAGTGTTTTCTAGTTCATTCTTTTTGACGATGACGAAGGTGTCGTCTACATAGCGAATCCAAATTTTTGGCTTGATCACTGGTAATATAGCGGCTTCTAGTCTTTGCATCACTGCCTCTGCGATCAATCCTGATATTGGTGATCCCATTGGTGTCCCTTTCGTTTGTTCGTAGATTTTGTTGTTGAATTGAAAGTATGTTGTTAGGCATAAATTGATGAGTTCCTGTAGAATTTGAATTTGAAGCTTCGTGTATTTAGTGAGGTTTGTGTCGCTGTTGAGCAGCAGGGATAAAGTTTCTTTTGCTAATCTTGGTTCAATTGAGGTGAATAGTGCTGTCACGTCGAAGGATATCATCAGTTCGTCGTTGTTGATTTAGATGTCCTTAATTTGGTCCAGGAATTGTGTAGGGGATTTGATTGAGTGGTTGGCTGAATCTACTAAATGTCTCAGTATTCTTGAAATTTCTTTTGACAAATTGTACGTTGGTGTTCCGGAGAGTGCTACAATTGGACGTAGTGGGATCCCACTACGTCTAAAACAATGGGAGACACAACCAAAACAAAGAAGTAAACAACGACAAATTTAAGGTCAATAATAACCAATCAACATCGAGGTGCACAGAACAAGCTTTGAGACACATATGGAGAAATTCGAACACTTCACTTCTATCTGAAGTTTGTGCTGATGATGTTGTTCAGAAGAACGATGAAAACTCCACGACCAAACCATCCAGCTCAGAGAACAAAACTACACCAAAATCATCCACCTAAGCTACAAATCTTCTCCACCATCTCAAAAACATATACTTTCATCTATATAATATACAGTTAGTTAACTTGAAAATATAAGCTCTAAATACATAAATTATTCAAAGTTATTTACTTAAATTTGTCAAGAGCTTTATCTACAAAGATTGTATTTCTGACCTACAAACAAAATAATCAGCAATGCATTAAATCTTTAATCAGTATATTTGTTGCGTTTATTTTTTCTAGACACTATAGATGTTATGAAGCGTGACGCAGTATTTTCACAGACAGTTTCACTTTGGAAACGACAGGAGGCTGGGTGGTCCTGTTAGCCCTGGTAATGGCGGTCTCTCAGTTGATACAACTTTCTTTTCAAAGCTTTGGTAGATAGAGCTTCAATCATATGTTCAGTTGATGGATTCCGTTCGTTGATGACTCGATGCGAAAGTCGATAGTCATCTGACAAGTAATTTTCTCTGGACCTGTGAACGTTTTTTGAGTGTCCTCGTAAATTCTCTGTTTTGGCGGACAAGAAAACTGAGGGCACGTCAGATGTAAATTCATCAATAATTAATTTAAATATGTGATCAAGTCACCTCTAGTTCTTCGATATGACAATGGGAATAGGTTTAGCTTAGCCAGTCGAGCATCATACAGGAGCTTCGTTATTCCGAGAATCAGCTTAGTTGCTGCTCTCTGAACGTTTTCCAAAAGCTCACTATATTTTTTAAGAAGGGGCTAGACGACTTTATGCAATACTGGAGATTAGGACGAACGAATACTCTATATAAAGTCGAAAAGATTTTAGCATCAAAATGGTTAAAGGCTATACGTATTGACTATAGGGTTCTAAAACCTTTGGCGGTTACCGCACGGTAGTATGCAGTAGTTTTTAAGTCTTGGTTAACGATGACATTGTGTCTGGACAACAGGTAGTTCAATGTTATTCACCGTGTATGTATCTGTACCTTGATGACTAATATGCATTATAATGCACTTGGGAGCATTTATTGGCAACTGCCAAGTTTTCAATCATTCAGATAATTTCTCCAAGTCATTTTGGAGTTCTAAGCTATCACCCTTACTTCGTATCGCTTTCCATATCTTGACATCGTCAGCATATAAAAAACCGATGATGATAGGAGACTAGGAAGGTCATTTACACACAAGAGGAACAACATCGGCACTCAAACTGTACACTGAAGCACTCTTCTAAGCAGTTTCCCAGCTAGACAACTTTGAGTTCACCCGTACTCTTTGTTGGCGCCCAAATAGGAAGTCTTATCCACATTAATAAATTGCTTAACTTATATAGCAGCCCTATGTGAGGAACTGTATCAAAAACTTTGCTGAATTCAATATAGACTACATTTATAGGTAACTTTTGATCCTTAAGAGCGCACCAACTTTCACCGGCTACTAATAAGTTAGTGAGATAGGAATAACCTGTTCTAAAGCCATGCTGCTTTGCAGAAAGATTTGAAAAATTCCAATATTGTGATTTAGAACAACATATATAAGCTATCAATATTTTTTTCGATTATATCATCAGGCTTTACTCTAATATACAGTAGTTTATTAGTCAGTGATGACTTAATTACTCCTGTTAGCCCTCGTGGAGGAGCATGGGCCACCCACCAGCACTCTCCATTCAACTCTGTCCTGGGCAATCCTTTCCTGTTGCTATTAATCCTTTTCATGTGTTCTTCTAATTCCCGATGTGGTGTATTAATCGGCCTTCCTCTTTTCCTTTTCCCTTCAAAATTCAAAGTTAGGGCTTGTCTCAGTCAGTGATAACAGTGGAATAAATTACATAAATAAACTTAATAAGTAAAACGTACAAAGCGATAATATGATGACAGGTATACTAGTTGTGATAAGAATAACAAAGGCTTGAATCGATGTTTCATAATGCCTTGAAAAATATGGATGCTGAAATGGTATTCATAAAAACCATAAGATTATGTAATAAAGTATGTTCAGACAACTGGACAATGAAGTGTATATAAAAAGTAGGTGGAGTAGGTGAAAAAAGATAAACGAAAAAAGAGTACGGAGAATAATAATAAATGAAACCACTTATTAAGACCAAGGGAGAGATAAGTGTTACAAATTTCTTACGAATACAAAGACTTGGTTTGTTAACTCGAAATCTTATGGCTTCTGTTATCTCTAAGAGACCAGATCGAACCCCATAAGGAAAACTAATAGGAATACGATAATGATTTCGTATATTTATATAAATATTGCTGTATATTAGAGTAAACCTTGATGAAGATCTAATCGAGAACAATATTGTTCGCTTACATATGTTTTTCAGAATGAATCCGGTTTTCGTCGAGATGCTTAAACAACTTACGAATAATCTTTTCTAAAATTTTAACAACCATGCTAGTTAGGCTTACGGGTCGATAGTTCTCAGGTTTATGTTTCGTAACTGTTTTGAAGACGGAACTTACTATGGCGTTTTCCTAGTCTTTTGATAACCGATCCTGGGTTACAGATACTGTTGTTAGTTTATTGCTTATTTTTACGAGATGATTAGTTTTCATGTTCATAATGACAGAATGTTTGTTGAGCAGATACTAAACGCAACGGTCAAATATGAAGGTTATAAGGCCGTATCTAGAATGATAACTTTGTTTAAACAAAGCGCACATGACAAAAAAAGTAATTCTCTTGCAGTATTATTGTGTAAGCTGTTGGTAAGTTAGTTTTTGATCTGTTAGTTATTTGTGAATTAACCATTCAATTATTTATCTAATTTGACTTTCTTAGTTGTGTAATTGTAAATTATTGTATCTTAATGATCTGGAAAGTTTAAAAGATAGACAGCTATGTCAGAAATGAACGAATGGTTTGTTATGTAATTGGCTCAGGCTTTTATCAGCTACCAGTTTGGAAGGAGGAAAAGTTACGTTCAGTCAAATTAGCTTTTCGTTGTAGAGCTAAACAAAAGCATTTGTACGAATATTCGTCGAGATTAGAACGAATAGTTTGACAGAAATTGGGCGCCGAGCATAGAGAGGACATTTTATGTGAAAAGTATATTTGAAATAATCTCAGCGACTGAAATTATTTTATTTTCAAAAGCAGTTTTTTTATTTCTTCTTCTTAGCAAACTGAGTTCATGTAAATGCTGATCATTAGATTTCTTTGAAATGGTTTAATCGTATGTTTCAGGCATGGAACAGAAGAACTTATCAACAAAAGGGGTACCGTATCAACACTCCAAACAGTAGTTAGATAACAATTTTCCTTCTTATATTGGTCGTCAGTTTACGATAGTTTCTAACCAATTTTGTTGGGATTATTCAATTCTCCCTTTTCACCAGTGTGCGTTCCGTCATTATCCAATGACAGTTCTTTCATTTAACGACTATAAAAAAGGCTTGGAAATAATCAATTGTCTTTCCATTTCGTATAAATTCATGTAAAGGGCACATTGAAAGGCACACTAAATGAACTAAGTAACATTATTGGTGGAATTCGATGTTTTGTTTATTTACTTACTTTCCTGCTTATTATGAATGAACTGCCTGTTTGTCTGTCGATCATAAAAATTCATATTCAGTTTCCCTGATTGATTAACACAATATTTTTGTTAACGGGTCATTTTCTACTACTGTAAACAACGAGAATGGCGTTGCTTTCATTCACTATCACCTGGTTACTGCTTTTTCAACAGAACATAAATGCCGAATACTACACTGCTGTTATTGATATAACGAAAGCATGGAGGTTAAGTCAAGAACTAGTGTCCGATCTAAATTCTTACATTGCCCTTGAAGAGAGACGTCTTAATCGTATTCGGAAAGTTGTCAAAGTGTTGGATGCTAATGGATCAATTAGTGACGCCTCGTCAACACTAAGTCAACAGAATAATGACCTAGAAGAATATTTAGGCAATCCGATTAATGCTTATCTTACAATGAAGCGTCTTTCATCAAGTTGGAAATCACAAATCAGTCAACTTGTTGACAATGTACCAAACGGTTTTCAGAAGGGTGATACTGATGGGTCAGACTATTTAAATATTTCTGATGCTCAAAACACAATCACAATGAATACAATTCGATCACGTGTTAAACAACATACAGATATGCTACCTGGTGATAATGATGTCAGTGGTGCAGTAGATGCAATTCTACGCTTACAGTCTACATATAAACTACCAGCTAGACAGCTTGCTTACGGTCAGTTAATTGATAATCTGTCAACTCCTCAACTGAGTGGTAAGTTTGGTAACTTTTTAAAAGTTGCAACATCTTGATGAATTTCTTAGAATAGAATGTTTTTCCTTAGTGTTTATGTCTGAACTTTTCTGACCTCTATGGACAACCTAAGATCCTGTTTTGAGATCAACTGAAATATTCATAGATTATAAAGAGTGTGGTTAAATGTACCACTTAAGCATCTTATTAACTGAATTGATCCTCACCAGTTGATTTTGATTGTTATATTGAGCGATCTGCTGCAAAAAATACTTCACAAATGAAAACTCTTTTAACAGATGGTAGGAGCATTTCAGTGTTAGTTCATGAATAGCTTTCTAGAGATTGCATACTACCAAGTTGATTAAGAATATTTCTTGAATTAGTTATGTCAATGGAAAGTATAGGTACCTCTCCTTTCCGTGATTACTTACTACTGACTTTAAAAGGTAAGTAATTTAAAGCGGGAAAAACTAGGATGATTAACGATTACTGCTTTATTAATAATAGCGGAAGATTCCTGTTCATATTGACTCACTTATCTCACGTTCTTGCATATATAATGAGATATTTCTAAAGTGAACTCTAAAAGTTTATTAATTATACTGTCGAGAGATAGCTTAATGATTCCAGTATAATTTTATTACCATTGATTTACCTACATATTAGGTCACAATAATAGGAGTCTAATATGTAGAATTACTTTTAAAACTGTATTTCTGAAAAGTTACAACTTCATTGAACTGTTGTAAACAGTAGGCATTTGCTTTGATTTTCATTGGATCGTCTTACTGTACTGACTTGATTCATTCAAACTTACTACCCATATTACAGAAAGATCCGCTTTTGATACTGCTATTTTTAATTTTATAGACCAGATGGTTGATGGAGGTTCGGTTGATTTATAAATAATTTTAATCCTAAACCGAACTGAACTGAAGAATCATGAATTTCTTAATTTGTTAGTAAATAATGTAATATTCTTACAATCTAATTAAAAGGCTGGAATATTATTCACTTAATCCAATAGGACAATTTTATCTCATACGAAAAATGATTAACTATAGAGACTACCTAAGAGAGTACATGGTTTTGCTATATTAATTGTTTCAATCTACATACTTGAATCTAATTTATACTAATCATGATTATTTCTGCGTGTAATTGTAGGACAAATCGCTGAAAATAATCAGTAAATTCTTAAATCATTTTGTCTAATTTTGCAGATTGTGCTTATTTTTTTAAAAAAAATAATTGTTTTCTATTGTTTACAGCCTTGTTATTTGATGGATTATTTTTTAAAAATAATAACAAATTTTGAGCGAATCTGTAGATGATTTCTGTCTTAAATCAATATTAATGTTGAAGCTATTAGGAGTTATAGAGCACAGAATTACTGGCAGCTTCTGTGTATGACAGCGTGATTGTTTAAAATTTTTCCCAAGGTTTTCTCATAATAAAATTCTCTCAAATCTCTGTCATCAACTTCTTTACTTGTGCTCAAAGTACTTTAAAGTTATAGTTCTATATTGTAACCAACTGACTGTTATTTAAATATGATAACGGAGTGAAACTCTAAACACTGTCTAACATTTTTCTTTATCTGAACCCTATTTAGTGTTACTAAGCATGACTTAGAGAAATATAATATATTTGCTTTTTAAAATAAGCATTGTCTATGTATTTTTTCGTAGATCACAGTTAAAATAAAATATTAACGGAAGTTTGTATACTGAATTACATTTACTGTTATCTGTAACGATTTACACAAAGTGGTAGAAGCTCAATTTCCACTGAAAGTAGGAATTCTTGACTTAAGGGTATAATCACTCCGTGTTTATGCTTATTAGTCACCTTACATACACTATTAGTATAATTAACATTTTAATTAAACTAGATATCTGATATTGTGATTAGTTGGTTTCGTGCATACACCTAGTTAACTAAAAGTCTTACTCGAAAACTTCGTAAATATTTATTGCTTAAGATAGAGATATTCCGACGAAAACTTGCTTTAACAGATATTTTAGTAACGCTGTCAAAATCATCATCATCTCTTTTAGGATCATAGAAATTAGTCACTTACAACTACATTATTCAGAATGTCAGTAGGGTTAGGCAAAAGAAGATGCTGAAGAGATTTTCAGAGGTCTTACGAAAACATCTTGAATCTACAGTGTTATTTTTTAAAGCGTTAATCAGAAGTCAGGAACATATCTGTAAAGTAAACCGATTTGCCAAAAACCGAACAAGTGTCGGTTATTACCGTTTACTGATATCTCGATCGCCACTATGAAAGATTCAGTTAAACAAATTATTTACAATATCGGAGCATTTATGATTTACCGTTACGTTCCCTCTTGTTCCCAAGTTTTATTATTTATTTCACGTAATTGTTATATATGATTTAATTACATGATGGCATGTACCACTAAACGGACAGTCACATAATGCTTCGAACCGCATAGATGTAGTGTCAAGTAGAGTCATGACTATAAATTACAATTTAATTTACTCAACATTATTCAATTTAACCGCGGTTAAATATTCTAAGTTTATATGGGGCTTCTGTTGAGTGCAAAAATTCAATTCTTCGATGACTTTTTTTCTCAATATTTCAGCTGCTCAATGCTTGGAAGTAGGTAGACATGCCTATTCACAGGGCGATTTTGAACAATCAGAAGAATGGTTTCGTGTAGCCTATGATCGGTTATTTGATGAGTTAGAACAGAAAAAAGAAGTTGATGCACAAGGAACTACCATCGCAAGTGACGAAACTGAAGAAAATGGAGAAACTGAACCGACAGTTGGACAAATTTTAGACTATCTTGCCTATTCTCTTGGACGAGTAAGTGAAAGTTGTTCATTCAACCTGTTTAAGTTTTATACCGAAAACTTGTTTTTAATCATTCGACTTCTAAGGTATTTCTACTGTTTTACTTAACGATCACACTATACAACTTGAATTTAAGGCTTTTATAAACACAAACTGATTGTTTTTACTCACCTAGTTATTGGAAAATGATTAGCATCTCTTACTGAAGTGCTAAACAATTGAGTCAACTTACAAATTCTCATTCTGGAAAGTCCAGGTAGTTTGAATAATTGTTTATTTGAATTTGTGTAACTTAATTTGTTTCAATTTTACGTTTGATATCTGAAGACTAAGGGAGTACTGGCGTATGAAATTTAAGTGTTAGATTTTCGAATTCATATGATAGGACACACATCAACTTACTTTGTCTCACAATCTAGAGGAATATCATGAAAGTTAATATCGTTTTTATCAAGCAAATGTTTAAACCACGAATAAATAGGAATTCTGATACGGGATTGTATTATAATCCTAAACCGTTTTCGTTCATATTCATTAGTATTTTAATGACATAAAAATCGCAGTTTTGTCATTTTTCAGTTTCTGTTCATTTGAATATTACAATTCCTGTTTGATTAGTAATAATTCATTAATAATTACTAGTCATTTTAAGATGAGAAATGTCAAATACCTTCGTGAGATAGTTTAACTGTTTTATATTTTTTAACAATGAATTTTTGTGTACAAAATATTTATGAATATAGTGGAATCGCTAATTTAGAGCCACGGATAATAACCGATGTATTGATGGATGTTTTATTTTCTTGTAACTATTTTTGTAATTTCCATGTTGTCCAAGCTTAATCGTTTAACAAAAAAACTTTCGCTGTTATGTGAGTAAGACTTCTTTTATTCGGAATGGGGTCTGTGGAGATTGTAGTAATTTTAATAGTTGAATTCAAGGGTTGACGTAAGCTAGACCACCATTGAAAACCTGGAAGCACTGGACTGCCGTTTCCTCCTATTGTGGGACTCCTGAGCAGCGGTCTAGCTTACACCGACTCATGAATTCAACTATTAAGATTTTTTTAACGGAATCTTTAAAAGCTCAGTATGTTCTTCAGTGTTGCATAACAATCCTGATTTATTTACTTGGAGATGTCATTGACCACAATCATGTCAAAGTAAACATAAATCTTAATGAGTGTTATCGTGAAAAATGAATGACGTGTCTTTCAAGCTAAGGTAAAATAGAATAATCTTGACATGTGATCACTAATTTCTGATACATATGGAGATCGGCCCTCTCCCACTACATTTGTTTGGTGCCCTAAAATAAAAACACAATCACATGAACGTTTTTAAATTAATTATCTTCATTGTTGTTATAAGGCTTCCATTTGTAATAGGTGGTAATCTCCAAGTGTATTTTTATTTAAATAATTCCAGATATTTCTCTACTTAAAGTAACTTTCAGTAGTAAATATTTACTAAAAGACATATTCAAGCTAATTCCTGTTTTGTTTAATTCTATGAATTCATTAGTAGTAACACCCGGTTGTTAAATGATTCACATACTTTTACTATCATTTTTAGCAAGGAAGATATGCTGAAGCACTGAACGTGACACGTTTGCTAATCGAAGAGGGTAAGTTTAGATTGACTTATTCACTTAAAATTTACTTCAAGTAACATACAGGACAGAATAAATATACAGATATATTTTCCTGTAGTCATGGTACTCAGTTTAGCGTTTCAGCTGAATTGATAGCATTGGTTTAACAAATTCTATATTCATAATGGAATTATGATTATTGTCCAAAAGTAACTCTTAGAAATGAACCAAAAAGGTCCACAGTATAACACTGATACCTTTTTCAGTGGTGTTATAAAATACAACAGCTTACCAGAAATTTTGTTTTACCTCATTAAAAGCAACTCCGACTGTAGATCTTCTAAGAATACTGCCGGCCACAAATCCGGATTAAAGAGGAGGGTTGGCTATAGGGTCAGCAACCCTATCCCGAAAAAACTACCTTGCAAAAAAAACACTGATCAGAATTAACAAACTTAACCATTTAAACTCTGTTCTGGGTGTTAAAAGATCTTTCAAAAAAATTATGACACCTCTATAGCATGCTCAAGGAGTTAAATAGCTGCAACCAATCAATTAAGTTCGCGACAGGGTCACAACTGAACTCTCGATTCCACTTCTTGGATGTTTGACTAGGCAAGACATCAGATAGATCACTGCAAAGCTTGGAATGTAGAAAACTAAATAGTCGAAAGAAAAACTTGTTTCACTTTATCCGCAAGTGTCAGACAAAAAAATGTACCGAGATAGATTTGATATACAACTGAATAAACTCCAAAAGACAACAATAACAGCTCTCCACCTGTGCTCATCGGAAGAAATTTGAAGCCAAAAACTGTTCAAGAACATTCAAATCAAATGATATACTGGAGTAGAAATCCAGAGAATATCACTTAAACCATTTAAACTCTGTCCCGATAATTAAAAGATTTCCTTTCAGAAGAATTATGACGCTCGTGGTGAAAGCTGGAATTCTTCGGAAGTCACGAGACTGATGCTCCTTCTGACAACCAGAACAATAGTCAAGTCAACATAGGTACATGGAATGTCCGGATAATGTGGGAGACCGTGAAGACTGAATGAATAGCTACAGATCAATAGGCCTTCAACAAAATGGTTATGGGTGACACCACTTTACACACAAACGCATATACAAAGCTATATGGATCTTACCAGATCATGCCAAGGCGAACCAGATCGATCACATTTGGATCACTAAAACATTCAGAAGGACAATTGAAGACGTGAAAACGAGGAAAGGAGACGACATAGCTTCGGATCATGAGCTGGTGGTTTGCAAGATGAAACTGAAGCTGAATAAGTACTGAACGACTGAACAAACAGCATTACAAAGGTTCAATACAGCCTTCCTTCGAGATACTGACAAACTCAATGAATTCAAGATAGCTCTCAACAACAGGTTCCAAGCCTTACAGGATCTACTGAAGGAGAAGAAACTACTATGGAGGACAACTGGAAAGGTATCAAAGAAGCATTAACTTCAACGTGTCAAGAGGTTCTGGGCGGCAAGAAGCATCATCATAAGGAGTGGATCTCTTTAGAAACACTGGGCAAGATCAAAGAAAGGAAGAACAAGAAGATAGCAATTAACAAGAGCCGATCACGAGCAGAGAAGGTCAAAGCACAAGCTGAGTACACAGAAGCAAACAAACAAGTGAAGAGGGGCATTAGAGCCGACAAGCAGAAATACGTGGGAGAACTAGCAAGGACGGCGGAAAAAACTGCATGAGAATGAAATATGAGACAGCTTTACGATACAACGAAGAAACTAGCAGGGAAATATAATAAATCAGAGAGACCGGTGAAAGACAAAGAAGGCAAGCCAATCACTGAAATTCAACAACAGCGGAACAGATGGGTAGAGCACTTTGAGGAACTCCTGAATACGCCGGCTCCAATGAACCCACCGGACATCGAAACAGCACACAAAGACCTTCCTATAGTTGTTACTCCACAAACAATCTAAGAAATCAGGATGGCCACCAGACAAATCAAGAGAGGGAAAGCAACAGGACCCGACAACATACCAGCTGAAGCACTGAAGTCAGACATCGAAGTAACTACAAACATGCTTCACCTTCTATTCACAAAGATTTGGGAGGAGGAACAAGTGCCGATGGACTGGAAAGAAGGACACCTCATCAAGATTCCAAAGAAAGGAGATCTGGGCAAATGTGAAAACTACAGAGGCATCACACTACTATCGGTTCCAGGAAACATTTTCAACAGTGTTGCTGAACCACATGAAAAATTCGGTAGACGCTAAGCTTTGAGATCAAAAGATTGGATTCGTAAGGATCGGTCGTGCACAGACGAAATCGCGACACTACGGATCATTGTTGGGCAATCAATTGAATGGGACTTGTCACTATACATCAACATGACTGACTGTGACAAAGCATTTGAAAGCGTGGATAGGAGAACATTATGGAACCTTGTTCGACACTAGGGTGTTGTTGAGAAGATCGTCAACATCATTCGGAGTTCATACGATGGACTATACTCCAAAGTCGTGCATAAAGGACAGCTGACAGTTGAATTCCAAGTGAGCATGGGAGTTAGACAAGATTGCTCACTCTCTCTCTCTCTTACTATTCTGGCGGTCGACCGGATTATCAAGACCTCAACATCTGATGAGAAGCACGGAATACAATGGACAGCTTGGATGCAACTAGACGATTTGGACTTGGCAGATGACCTGGTCCATCTATCACATACACACCAGCAAATGCAGGTCAAGACAGCCAGTGTAGCAGCTAACTCTTCAGCAGTATGTCTCAACATACACAGAGGGAGAAGCAACATCCTCAAATTCAACATGGAGAACACCAACCTAATCACACTGGATGGAGAAGATGTAGAAACCTTCTCGTACCTTGGAAACATCATCGATGAACAAGGATGATCAGATGCAGAAGTAAAGACATGGATTGACAAAGCAAGGGCCGCATTAATACAATTGAAGAACACATGGAACTCAAAACAACTGTCAGCCAATATCAAAGTCAAAATCTTCAATACGAACATCAGGACAGTTCTACTGTACGGAACTGAAACTTCGAGAACTACTACAACCATCATCAAGAAGGTACAAGTATTTATAAATAGCTGTCTACGCAAGATACTCAACATCCATTGGCCGGATACCATCAGGAATAGCCTACTGTGGGAGTGAACAAATCAGCTTCCAGCTGAAGAAGAAATTAGGAGAATATGTTGAAGGTGGATAGGACACTCACTACGGAAATCACCAAACTGCATCACGAGGCAAGCCCTAACTTGGGATTCTGAAGGGAAACGAAAAAGAGGAAGACCAAAAAGCACACTGTCTGGAATGGGAAGCAGATATGAAAATGATGAATAGCAACTCGAAAGGATCGTCCAGAACAGAGTTGGATGGAGAATGCTGGTGAGTGGCCTATGCTCCTCCACGATGGGTAGGAGGCGTAAGCAAGTAAGTTATTTGTGGTGTCTTTTACTCAGGTACTCTCCGGATAAGTAGGATTTTGCTAGCTATTATTAAGTTCTCTAATTGCTTATGTCCCTGGGGATTAATGATTTGATATTTAGTGAAATGTTATGGCTTTAATTTGCGGTCGATTTTTACCCTGTGCTAATTGTTGTGTCCTTGATTGAAGAGATTAAACAGCGTATTTATCGATCGATTACAGTGACACGTACGGACGGCCCAGAGTCTCGATTGGTTTGCTCTTCCCTGTCTAGCCCTGTCAGTTGAGTCCAGAACACAAGCCATAGCCTCGGAGATATGAATCATTATATTTCAAACATACTTTGTTTATATACCAATCAAGCACACCACATCGTACCATAAAATAGAAAACAACATTTTGCACAATACTCAACAAGTGAACAGATATCGACCAATAGAAAATGTCCATTTAAAGTCCAAGGACACCATTGGACTTAACATGATAATTATTGGTCTATTTCTCTGCATCCACAACACCTCCCTTTTTTTTTGAAGATCCGGATTTTGAGATTTTCTGGGTTCATCCTCCCCCACGAAATAATGTTGGGTCCTCATATCCCCAAGTTAAAATTAATTTGACTTTATTTAACACATAATTGTCAGATTGAACAGAGAAGTCACTGAAAGTGATTAAATAGTGGGGATCAATGTCGCTTGATATGAGGTCATCAGCGTTTGATTCTTCTGGAACATTATCATGGGATTTGTTGGAAATCTCATTTGTAAACAGTTGATCACTGAGATAATCAGCATCCATCAAAATTGTATTAGATTTCTGATCATCATTTGATGCATCTAACACATTTTCTGGTACAAGAGGATCTAGATAATAAGATTCACCACAATCTTCTGTTGTTGACTGATGAGGACCGTTTGGAGCAGCTAGACTCAGTATACTGCGCGACTTGTTTCCTGTTTCCTTGTGAGAGGGTACTGTAATTAATTTATGAGCATTTAATAAGAGATCTTCCTGTGAGCTGGGTACATCACTGTCTGTACACGTTTCAGGAACAGTGGGATTTGAACCCACGACAGGGAATGTTTCTGAATTTGACATTTCTGGACAACTGGGCGGATCATGAATAACTTTCTCGTTTACATCACTGGTCGTCCGGGATTCACAGAGGCTTTTATAGGCAGCTTCATATGTTCTGCAGTTGTTTTCCACCTCAGTCTGCAGATGAGAAATGAACTTACCAACTTCTGTTGCACCTCCGAAACATGGAAGATTTACCAACCGCGTGCGTAAATTTTCTAAAAAATTTAACTGGCTATTTTTGAAGCACTGCTGTTGTTGCTCAAGTAGAAGCTGTAATTGATCGGAAAAGGTAGTCATTTTTTCTTTTCTGCACCAGCAATGAAAATTAACTGTAGGGATAATGACAAATGTTGCTCAAGGACGCTGATGATAAATCTGGACTCTGATTGGTCGAAACAATTAGCCTGAATCTCGTCCAATTACAAGGTTCAAAATTTTTCTCCACCCCGTCGCCGATTGTTATGACCTTGAATGCCTTGTTTTGCTATCACGCGACCTATCGACCAATCCGGATACGACTTATACGAATCTCCACACTAGGCCAACCAATGACGTTCAACCGGTGTGGGCAGTTTAGCGTCCTTATTGGTCCTATGTCCTACGAGCCCTTCCACTTGAGTCCAGAACACAACACCAGCTTCGAATCAGAGCAGATCGTTTGTTTCAGGCATACTTGGTTTATATATCAATCACACAGACCTCAACGTACCATAAAATTTGTACACAAATAAGCCCAAAAAGTGGGTGTGAATGTGGGAGGCAGTAGTTAATAAACTGAACATAACTTAAGAACCGTAAATCGTACAATCATAAATTATAGGCCAAAATAAAGCTTGTCATAAGAGGGATATAAATATACATAGTGTAATTGTTGAGTAGTTATACAATAAGAATATTAGTCCATGAATAGTCCTCGGAAGTTACCTGTAATTTAATCTCCACTCGGATATAACAGGAAATATTTTTCTTTCCTAATAATTGTGATGAATAATTATGTGTATACTTCTTTTTAGAACCGACAAATACAAGAGCTATCAATAATGAAGCCTTCTATGTAGAACAAATAGACAGAGGTGAAGGAAGAATAGGTCCAAATCCTCGTTCTCAAGGTAACTCTTCCACATGATTATATTCAATTCTGAATATATGTTAAATTTCAAATCCGTAGTCTAATTACTCCACTTATTCATCATTTTGGTTTCTCTCAAAAAGTTATCTTTAGTATTACGATCTTGTGTACATCTTAATCAGCGATCACATCCAGTGTCACCATTAGTCTGTCTGCCCAAATATATTAACACTTAACAGCATTTAAATTGGTAGAACACAACGATAATTCAATAAAGAATATTTCTCAAATGAAGTAATAGTTATTTAATTATAAATCCTAATTCGTTTATCAGCAGTGAATGTGCGATACAGATTCCAGGAAATTTGATTGTGATATTGTGCAGATTTGTCAGTACTTCCATTTCGAAAAAAGGAAACAATTTTCGTCCTATAAGCTAATAGATCTCTGTACTTTTGGGCTGTAATATTAGTTATGTTTAGTTCACGTAAATAATTAATCTAAAAAACCTATGTAGTGGTTAGTATCTTTTTATTCAAATGTGTTATCACAAATTCTAAAACTATACCTCATAATTGTATCAGTCTCTTTCTCAACTGCTTTAGACACATCTACATAAACGTTTGACATAATTATCAATTTTGAACTGTGTAACATTGTGTTGAATTATAGTTGAATATTGTTTAACGTCATTTAAATGACACTAGGACATACTCGATGATTTTAAGAAGGATTGTTTCCGATAATCATAAGAAAGCTCAGTGAGCATTAAAAATTAACGTTATGATACTAGTTCAATCGAAAACCATAAGGGTAAAGTTTATGGATGGCTTTTTTCGATCACTAACCTGATGATTTCAATCTATGCCAATAAGATATGATTTGTCTTAGTGAATAATGGTCACACAGTTTCTTTCTTCGAGTTAATTTTTCTTTCTTTTTCATATTCCAGCTACATCAAAGCACGATCAAGAAACTGAGCTATACGAATCATTATGTCGTAATGAAAATCCCTTCCCTACAGTCCCATCACGTTACCTAACATGTCAATATTATACTCCTCATGCGTTTTTTAGAATTGGTCCAATTAAGGAGGAAACTTTAAACCCTGATCCACGTATTGTAATGTGGTACGATTTGATTTTCCCATCGGAGATTGAAAAAATCAAAGAACTGGCTACACCAAGAGTTAGTTCGATTTCATAATTATATTCTTAGCTTTTTTTACACTAGAAACTAGAATGTAAGAACATTTGATGCAAATTAATAGCTGAAAAAAGGTTCGTTCAGTATATTGAAACACTCGTTATTAGAAGTCTAAAACTATTTTTTAGAGTATGTATGGAACTTATAACTACGTAAATGAAAATTGCAAAGATAGATTACTGTGCTGTGAATGTTGGATCGAGCGTTTTTAGTTCATCAGTGTTTAAACGTTTTAACTCAGTGTTCTATAAATTATTTGAAACAGATTATTTTGCACTTCAGAAGAATGAGTTATCACTTGGTTTTATCGTAGTATATTTACAACAGACTTATGTTTCAACGTTGGATTAATATTTCTGGATTACCTAGGTCACTGATAGCTTTCCAGATAAACTATAGATATATTTCTGTCGACTGAATATAAGTTTCTATTTTTTCGATATTTCCCCTGTCTTCACTCAGCGTCTCAACTATGAAAACTGATGTCAATAGAAGTTACACTTTTAGGGGCTACACTGAACTTGATGTAATACTGCTGTACCGGTCTTGTTTTTTTGTTTAAGGAAAACCTCTCAAAGTTTTATTCACATTTTCGTACTTATCTGCTTACGAATTATTTTTGACGTTTTCGTAACTATGATCCGAAATGACCATTACTGTAAGCTATAACTTGCACATATTTTAAGTAACCCACTGCTCTACTTTTCTATTAACTCAGAGAGGGATAATCGTTCTACCAGTTTGTGAAGATGAAACTAGTAGCTAATATATTACGAAGTGTTAACAAATACAGTTCGTTATATACAGATAGTTATATGCATCTATTTAGACCGAAGTATCTTGAATATATATATGACAAGGTTCACAATTAAATTCTATAAATCCATAGATTAAGAAGAGTTACTTCGCATCACCGATATCAATTAAATGGTCATGGGACAAATAACAGTGTTATAAGAGTAAATAATTATTCAAATGTCTCTCTTGTGTTAATAAGGGTCCCACGCTCCAAACACTGCATCCGTATAGTATCCACTGCTTTCTTTTTTTAAATCTTAGACTGAATGATTTTGTGACGAATCACTTTATGTAAGTGAAGTATCGATATTACTCGGTAACCTTTTCGTCAACATACATGAAGTTGTATTCGATTTCTCGTCATATTTTATGACTAAGGAATTCTCTGAAATGTCTTACCCGACGGTTATACCACATTTTACTGTGATAATTAGGAGTATTTGAATTACAGTATAAACTAAGAATCCCAGAAATAACGCAATTAAATAACGAAGTACTAGACAAACACGAACGAATGTGCCGTATTTGGAATTCGAAATCAAGCATTCAACAAGTACAAAGGAATCATCAGTTCATTCAAACACCACATTTACACATTTCTTTTTTTACGTAAGTGATATCATTTTCTTTTACTTTAAATTTTTTTCAGCTTCGTAGGGCGACGGTTAAAAATCCAGTAACTGGCAACTTAGAGGTAGCATTTTATAGAACCAGTAAAAGGTGAATTATTTTTAAACCACACAAATCTGTTAAATATCTCTGCATTTAAACTAGACGTGGGTTTTTATTTCCTATTTTACAGTACATAAATGTTATAATAATCAGTAGATTAAATAAAACTATTCATATTTCAGAATATTCAATTTTAGAGGCAAATCATACACTTCGAATATTTATCTCAAGAGTGAATCATTTCCCATAGATTAAAAACAAATCCGAGATGATAATTAAAGAAATTTATTCATCATTACACTTTGTGGTAACTAAATATATTTCTAATACAGACTCTGTTTTACCACCTCTATCGTGATAATCAAATGGTTTTTGTACTAGTGATGGAAATTATTGAATAATCGTACAGACATTGCATCACCGTTTTATTTTTGATAACATCAATCAATATTTGTCGTTTTTCATTAAAACGAAAATTTAGTGGCCGGAATTCAAAGCCCATAATTTTTCTCAAATTTCGCTCTTGATACCAAGAGATTTGAAATACTTGCACTACTAACTTATATTGGCAGCTTGATTTCTCTTCAAAGCCCGTGATCAACTTGAAATTAAACATGACAATCAGATTTACGCTACGGTCTTTGAACCTTCTATATGCTATTTTTTCGACTTATAATTTTCATATCTAGGACCCTAACATCGCTTAAATATAAACACCATGATGTATAGACTGTGACTTATTAATTTACCAAGCGGTTGATATTTTTAAAACACTCTTGATCTATGATTATGACTATTCGGCTAAATCAAACATCGATTTCTTCATAATTTATTAAGAACTGAACTTATCCCACTGTTGAAGTGTGTAGGTAAAAGACGGTAGTTTTGTTGAACTCTTCTGGTTCATAAACATTTGTCGGTTTGACTGAGATACGTTACATTCTTACTCTAGTAAAGCATTAGCAAGTTTACTTGTCTTTTGAATACATGTATTTTTTCTGTCGTATGGTTAACATATTTTTTTTATCAAAATGAATTATAGATAATTGTGTGGCCGACGAAACACACTGTTAAGATATCTAGATCAGTTTCAAATTATAATACAAGGTTAACATCATAGTGACTTATTCAAATCTATTGCACTTACGCACGATATACTTTTTTGAAAATCATATAGAAAATTACTTAGAAAGTGCACTAGTTCCATTATTCGGAAAACTGCGTTTTCTAAGAACTCGTAAAGGGTTTCCGATCTAGTTGTCCGTATGTTCTGGATGTGAAACATGAGATATTCAATCACTTTAGACTTATTTTGTTAGTTGATCATCATAGTAGCTTTATCTTTATGTATGTAACACAAATTATGTTAGAATACTCATTTAGTCAACAATCATGTCATCATTTGAACAATATTTTTTATCACCAACTTCACTAACATGTGGTCCATTTTCATTTAGCGCTTGGCTTCCTCATTCTATGACTGAAATTACTGACCAGATAAGTCAGCGTATACGAGCTGTTACAGGTTTGTCCCTTGAGACTGCTGAAGATCTACAAGTCGGTAATTATGGGTTGGGTGGACATTACGCTCCACATTTTGATTTCGGTCGAGTAAGTTCCTAAACATTTTCAATTTTTTGCAGACTCTAGACATTAGCTTTTTAAGTTTCCAGTTACAGCAATGGAATTTTAGCTCCCCCTGTTAAATTTCTGCTATGTTGATGGGTTTCGCATTAAAATTGTATGTCAAGGTCAACAATTTACTTCTAGTTACCGTAGTAATCGTGGTCTCAATATCTAAGCAATCCTTACTGTTTACGAATTTACTAGCTTTAGTCAGCTATTCCAATTGTAAATTGACTTTTAGTGTAGATAATTTATGGTGATCATAATGACGAATTGAACAAGTAACGATTCTGATGACAAGTCTATACGTGGATCTAATAGACTCTTATAGGTTGGATTATATTTCTGTAAGTCAAATAGTCGTACACTTAATGTTATTGGCTAAACTGAATACCTGAAACATAAACAGTAGGTTTATAATATAGTTGAGTCTTGTTGTATTACGTTCTGCTTGTCTGCCTCCTTGTAAATCACTTGTATTGAATCAAATGTATTGGGTCATTCTTGACGAATGCAATCAAGTTCTAAATTATGAACTTCGTAATACTGGCGTTATATCAGGTAGAAAGACTGTTAAGAAGTAAGTAGTTTTAGATACCTGCTTCGTCATGTTTTGTGACTCTTCATTCTTTGTGACTTTTATTATCGTTTCTTTTGAATTCCATAGTTAACTTTGGTCTCTCCACTGATTGATTTTTTGATGTTGTTCTTTTACTTACTGTAACGGAGTGCGTGATTGCCACTTACCCCCCACAAAGCTTGTTTTCTCACTAAAAAATAGAGTAGTTGTCATGAAATCCCATATTAACATGTTCCAACATATAATAACAAATGGAATTCACTACCATCCCCAAATTTTAACATTTCCATAATCAATAGATTTCGATCAGAATCGGATGTATTAATACATAGTGAATTCCAATTTTTTTGTATCAAAGCCATCTTTAAAATTCACAAAAATAAATTAACTATTAGCTGATCAGTTAGATAATTTAAAAATATCATCTCTTTGTAGAAAGGAAAAGAATCTTCAGAAGTAAAGCAACATATTACAAAAAAATTAGAAAAGTTTGGTCTTTGTTAAGCTAATAATATAAATGGACTAGAAATTGAAGATATCTAGGATTTCATTCTAAGGTATTCTACAGTCATCATAATCTTTTTACCTTATTACAATAAATATATAAAGGAACTTAGTAAACTAGCAGAATATCCTCTTTGTTTACCGATGATAAATGAATACGATGTATTATATCTTGACGAAAACTGTTAGAAGTATGTGCATAGTATGTTTACTAATTTGCTAAATTTTTTTTGCAGAAAAGAGAAAAAGACGCATTCGAAGTTAAAAATGGGAACAGAATAGCTACAATTATTTTTTATGTAAGTGTTATTATTTATTAGTTAGTTCCACAGGTAACTTTACATTTGTACTTTCAGTCGGAATTGAACAGCCAGAATTATAGTTTTTATTAAACTCCTGAAATAATTTCGGTTTTTTATATTTTAACTGGCTTGCGATTATCCAGAGCCAATTTAAGTATGGATGACAGGACAGTTTATTCAACTGAAGAACTGAAGTTAGTGTGTAGACTGAAACCGTTATACACGTTAGCTACATAAGAAAGAAGTTATACAAGAAAGACTTGACAAGAAATAATAATGACTATAATAATGAAAATAAATATTGGGAATTTTACTGCTCTTAGGTTTTACGTTAACTGAATCTTTTCGATTTCTGTCAATTTACTGCATGTTTTCAACATAGTACTAGGAACGTAGATGGATGGAGAAAACTTAGTGGATTCTGTTACGCCGAGTATAACTATCTTCATTCCTAAGACAAGGATGAGAGGAACAGTATCTAATGTGTGAGTCATATTGAACCGGCACATTCTGTAGCGCAATTAAGCTACTGATATGATTAATGTACCTCCTATGATCCTAGATTCTTTAAATAGATAGAAAGATTACAGGAATTAGGTAAGTTTTATGCAAGATGGGGACCGTTCGTTAAATCATATTATTGTTGAGCACAGGAATTAGTAAAGGCTAAGGTCTGAATATGGACAATAGGCAATACTTCTGAAGCAATACTAGATCCAATGCAAATAAATAGAATGATGGCTAATAAAAAACAATCATTACTACACCCGAGTAAGGAAACAGAAGACTTTGCGAAAGAGCTTTTATGTCTCGCGTAAACACAACAAGATAAGTAAGTAGTGTTTTGCAAGACAAATTGACCGATAGAAATAGGTTCCAATTAAATGGGATTCCCATGTTTGGGACTGGCAGTGTTCATAGAAGTTCTTCAATGTCTATTTATTTGAATATACTGTGTGAATAGTTTTTAAGCTAAACTCATCAAAATCAGGTCTACTTCTTTCACCTTACTGTATCTTCATTTTCATATTCCAAGCAATTTTACCCTGGATTTATAATTTATAATTATTGTAACCGTGAATATCTTTGTTTAGTTTCCATCTGTCAACAACATAATTACTTTTAATTCAAAGCTTCGTTTCATACCTCAACAAGTTTACTGATTATTTAGAAAAATAATCAGTAACAAATAAATACTCCTTATCTACTGTAAAAGAACATTTGCATTCTAGTCCATTGAGTGATGTAAGATTTACAAATATGTACACCACTACAATAAGATCATCTTGGTAAGATTATCTAAAGGAACTGTGAATCACTGAAATATAACACGTTAAGATTTTTTAGGTTCTATAATCTTATTGCGTAAAAATGAGAATCTTTTTTATTTATCGCAGACTGCGCTTAGTTCACATTAAGAACAATTTTATGAGTGTAAGATTTAGGTTATGTAAGTAAAAGATGAAGTGAATGACTTTCACTTTGGTGCATCTGGAAATTATATCGACTTCAGTACATGATTTCCCATGAAGAAAAAACCAACATGTCGTCAATGGAGTTCGCTGTAGAAACTGATCCTATCATGTTATTTCTGGACATGATTTTTGATTGTTAGCTTTTGACAAAATACCAACTTGTCGTCACCACAGTACTGTGATCGACAGTAGTTGTCAAACAAAATTATAGGACATAGTCTTATGAAATTAAAAATTATACGATATGTTATACTAGCATACACTGATCATTTCTTCATAAACTATAAATTTCGAGATAATACCTATGTTTTCAAGTTTCATGTAACGAAACAGTACTTGATACTTGGCAGCGATTCCACTAACTATTAGTCTAAGTCCATTTCGTTTATTTCTCAGTTGCTCATTTTTGTGACCTATCCGTTAAGCACAGGTTCAAATTATTTGTGTAACGGTTAATCATATTATCCGTCTCTCCAACCTAAGGTAGGTGAAGCACATGTTGAAACTCCGACCTATTATTCGAAAGTTAAGTACTTCATCGTTCTAACGTTAAAGTTAACACCTATGCATTGTAGTATGCAAAGTGTGTACGGAGTTTAAAAAATAACTATTTTTTTGTAAATGTACGTTTTAATCGTTTAAAGATCCCCATCATATTAAATGTACATTTCTTAATGTCTATTTGGGATGGATAAATTAAAATTCATAAACAACCACACAATTTCACAGTTTTGAAGCACTGAATGGCTGTTTGCAACCTGTTAGCATCCCATTTACTTAAGCCAACGTTCTTTAACAATAACTTATTCCACTTCATCATTGTCTCTTTTATCAGTGTCTCTTGGTTCACTTATTGCCTTTGTGTGTCGATATCTTCTATAGTCCATCTATACTTTGGTGTAACACACAATCACATCAAACTTATCAATTTATCAAAATCTCCCACTGAGTAAGTGAAGGTGATTTCTACTCTTTAGTTATTATTTACTTCTATGTGAATTTTCAGTGATAATCATATCTGTTATGATATAGAAGTGTATGTCCAGCCAAAACAAAAAAGAGCTGTATAAGAACTCATTCTGAGATCTAACTGTCACTGGGATGAAGAACAATTTTTCGATCAGTTTATAATTACGTGAAAATTCTTCCTAGTTTCTTTCTTTTCCATTTAAAAATTTCACGATTTCTAAATAATTGATCAAGGCTTATGTTACATACTCAACATGAAATTCTGAATGTTGATGATTTAAACGTCAGCTCTTTTTATACTTCTAGTTATCTGATGTACAAGCAGGAGGAGCCACTGTATTTAACCGTATCGGTACACGTGTAGTCCCTAAAAAAGGAGCTGCTGGTTTCTGGTTTAATCTTTTGCCTAGTGGAGAAGGTGACCTACGAACTAGACACGCTGCTTGCCCAGTTTTAGCTGGCTCGAAATGGGTAATGAATCTATGGTTTCATGAACGCGGTCAAGAATTTCATAGGCCATGTGAATTAGAGCGTGGGGCAATTGAAACAGATGATGGTTTTTAAATATAATCCAGCTTTATTCCTTTAAAAATTATGCATCTACTCAATTATTTGTTCGTCGTTTCGTTTTATATTCATTATGTCACTACTAAGCTAAGCATTGATGATTTTGTTAAATCACTTTCGAAATGTTTATTTTCATTCAAAACAATAAATTAGCACATTAGTGAATACTTCAATGTGTAAAATATAATCAATTTTAATCGATTTCTTTTTCTTTGCTTCCCTGCACTAAATAATCTGCTTACTTTCTAAAAAAGAAATGAGCAATCTACTGGTACATATGGCTTATACATATGATGACTCATTGTTTATTATTAAGCAGTTGAATTTATAATGGACTTTTTTTTCATATTCAGATGGTAATTGGACGGAATGTTAAGTTTTTTTTTTACCATAAATTGATTTATTAGTGTATATGTTTCGCAAACTGGAGTTAGTCAGTTCATCGAAGAGGAAAAACAAAAAGATAAGAACCAATTAAACAAATACCATTTGATTTCAGAGTAATGACTATCATCGTTAAAGAATCCTTTATACTATTACATTTTAAATATGATATACTTAATAACAGCTCTGCAGGACAATCATTTCATAATTAGGTTTTGGTATTGAATTTGATAAGTAAATTTTCATGCATTAATTATTAATAATGAATACATGGTATCAATAATTACTATTTAATCTACCTTGTGGTGCTACAATCAACTGATAACGGCTAACAGATCATGAAATAAACATTTGCTGAATACATTACTTCGTTTAAGCCCTGATTTTCTGCCTTAATTTCCGGCTGTTTTTTTAAAAAATTAACTTGACGCTATAACAATAACTTGCAAAGTATTCAGATAAATTACAATTATATTACCTTTGTTGCCCATTTGTTCATTGACTTGTCGCTTAATAATAACCTAGATCGCAATGTTCAGTACGAACTAAGGTACAATTTTTAGTTCATTCAGAATACACATAACCTAGATCCTGAATCACTCACCAATTGAGCATAAAACGCATTGTACTAATCGAGTATTTTTGTTCATTTGGTGGATAAAAAGAAAAGTTTAAACTTTCACTTTATCGAAACAGAATTCTGTCGACTTCTTGTTTTGGATTTTAATCCATTATGATGTGTGACAGCTATTTTTAAATGGAAAATTTTAATAAACTTTATTTGACGACAATAAGGAAATGTTAGGGATAGTGTTAATTTACAACCTGGAAAACTTAAAATTAAGTGAACTTGTTAAAACGACATAAAAATCTAACACTGCATCACGTTAGTTCAAATACAAAAAGAGATGTGAAATAATGTATTTAGGGTTTAAATGAAGTCTACCAAATATAACCGATTCCAAGCGTAGACAAATCAAGAAATTAGAAAATCTCAAAGAGAGCATAAAAACAGAAAACATCACCAACAAAAACTACTTCTAATGACCTAAGGATGGTTCATGATCCTTCACACAGAACTCTTAGTACATACCAAATCATTCTGTTAAAAGAAAAATTAAACCTAATTTTACTTAGAAAACCTCTCAGCACTCCAAAGATCACTCCAGTCCTACAACCGATATACAAGATATTTCTGGACAAAGAGACACATGCATCATAACACTTTATCTAGTAGATGTTAACTAAGCATTAGTTTAATCATGAAAGCAATCAAATTATGCTTGAGTTCAACGCGTTCCACCATCAAAGGGAATTTCCCTGATGAAACAAACGGAAAGACCATGGGATCTCCGTTTATGGTTAGTCTATTTATATCTCGTATGAAGTCGCTTACTTATGCCGGTACCATTAGATCAAACTCAAATATGTAGATTCTCGCCAGAAATTTCTCCTAACTAATGAACACATTCTCAGATCACATCAAATTCACTTCTGGAAAGGAAGATGAGCATAGTGAACCACGTCTCCCCGACTATTTAGTTAACGAAAATTCTTACGGAAATCGAAATATAACCATATACCATAATCCGACACATTTAAGTCAATGGATTTCAAATCGACATCTGTTCAAAGCGGAAATTTACTTGGCGAGGTTCAGAATAGCTACTAAGATCATTACTTGAGAAGATAAACTAAAGGATAAAAAAAAGATATGATGAACATCTTATGATTAGGTAATTTTTCTATATGATTGACTGCACAAGACTCACTTGGTGTACCTATGATAATTAGAAGTATTCGAATTAATGTGCTAACTGAAAATTCTCGAAATAGTACAATTTAAAGCAAGTAGATCCTGATGATCAAAAGTGAATCTATTATATTTGGAATTCGTAACCGGTGGGCAATCAAGTACAAAGGAATCATTAGGTCGTACAGATACCACATCTTGAATAGGCATCCAAATATCTGTAATCGATTATACTTTTCCTTAACCCCATCATGTGCCTGTCCGGCTGTGTATTGGGTATAGACTCCATGTGATTTAGAATGTACTCATTAGTATTAGAATTAACAACTAAAATTGGAACAGACGCACCTGATTCCTTAAAACATATTCGGTTGTTTTGACTGGCTCGTATATGAAACACGGGTTTATTGGCCTGTTTTAGCAGACCTATATGTTGTGGAAAACCAGTTCCTGGATGAGGACGTTTCTGCTCAGGCAGTTACATCATCGTTCCTTTTGCGTACAATCTGGCAATTCCCCACTAAACGACTTTATCTACTCTACTCTCCGGGTCTTCGAATATTGCAGCAGCAATGAAATTGACGTATGTTTCCAAAAATTTGAAATTTCTTGCTTGCACATGAGAATGAGGGGACTTTGGAGTCGTGCGTATTTATCCACACTTCAGTTCCGTGGCTAGTAAGTTGTCAACATTCTAACTGAATTATTAGATTTGATGCTACCAATGTCAACAATAAAGTTGTGGAAAACACCGTTGGACAGATACAGTCGTTTTTTAATATGATACAAATCACTTGATGGTATTGTAGCAGTAAATAAATCCCTAAAATCAATAGCTCTGTAAGTCTTCGGCATTGGATACTGACCACATTAGTCTTAATGGACTCACCTAGCTGAAGGCTCTCGGTCATGCATCCGCATCAGATCACGAGTGGGAACGCCGTGCCTGACATCTCCTGCAATTGCTAGCCAGTCTAGATCAGTCGATTCTCGATACATTGATAGCATATCAAATATATCTTCGAACCTCTTCGCTTCCGACTTTTGATTTCACAACGTGGGTAAGATTAATAATAGATGGTGTTACTGGTTAAAGCGTTGTCAAACTTCAAATACCTGTGTCATCTTTAGTGTGAATGCCTTGGTGCTGTCGAAGTTGGGGGGAGTCCGCTGCCCTTCATGAAATGCTCCCACAATGCCACGCGTATAGAGCCACTGCCTTCTCTCGTTGGGGTGTAGTTCACGAAATTGAGGGGACGAAAATTGAATGTCCGGAGCCCGAACGGGGTCGGTGGACAAGCAGGACTCAACTAGGTGAGTTGGAAAACCCTGATACCAAACGAATGGGGCACTTGCGCTCCAGGATCCCGAGAGAATAAATGGCGTATAAACCTATTGTTGGTCATTGGCTACCATGGGATCGCTCCTCCTAAATTTGCTCCACGACTTAGTGGACTAAACCCTTAGGTCAAATACTTGGAGTGTGGCCCCCTGAGGAAACCACTTGCTCCAGTTTGGGCACCCAGGGAATATTCCTGCCCTCACACAAATCAAATGACGAAGTGCGGAGCATATATATGGTGCCTACTCGTACCGATGTTTATTTGTTTAAATAAATAAAGTAATTAAAGTCACTAAAATTAATGGAATCGGCATTGAAAAGTTTGCTATTACTTGCGGCGACATAAATAGTACGTTTACAAACAAACTGGATGTGTCAAGACGACTAAGCAAAGTGGTGGAAAATGTCACTGACTGGAAATCAAGCCCACTTGCTACATCATAGTTAATGCATGCTGTTTCAATTTCTTGGAATGAACTTTTGGTTTCTCAAATAATTCTCTAGAGATGGTGGAGAAGATTTGTAGCTCAAATGGATGGTTTTGATGGAGTTTTGTTCTCTGAGCTGGATGGTTTGGTCGTGGTGCTTTCATCGTTCTTCTGAACGACATCATCAGCACAAACTTCAGATAGAAGTGAAGTGTTCGAATTTCTCCATATGTGTTTCACAGCTTGTTCTGTGGACCTCGACGTTGATTGGTTCTTATTGACCTTAAATTTGTCGTTGTTTACTTCTTTGTTTTGGTTGTCTCTCATTGGTTTGATTTTTGTTCTTATGTTTGTGCAAGATTTTCCTGATTGGTTGATAAATTAGATTGATTTCAATATGCTTGTTGGTTGCCGATTGACCTGACTCAGGTCAAACCATCCAGCTCAGAGAACGAAACTCCATCAAAAGAATTAATTCTCTTTCTAAATTCGGAATATTTATCCCAGCAGCCAACCGATCACCTCCGCCTGGAGTCCCTGCGGGGGCTACTGTCGGTCCCAAGGAGGACGGTTGGGCATGGGGTTAGCGTCCCCGTCTCGCAGAAAACTAACTCGCTAAAAAAACGCTAACCAGAAAAAATTATTCAAACCTTTTAAACTCTGCCCTGGGAATCAGAAGGTCTTCATTTAGAAGAACTATGACGCCTCATAATGAAAACCGAGTTCCTTCAGAAGTTACGAGGCCAATGCCCCTTCTGACAAACAGAGCAACCATTTATTTAGGTACATGGAAGGTTCGTACAATGTGGGACACCGGGAGAGCTTTACAAATTGCTGCAGAAATGAGAAGATACAGTCTAGAGGTACTTGGGATCAGTGAAACACATTGGACGCAAGTTGGACAACAACGACTAACTTCAGGAGAGCTCCTGTTATACTCCGGCCATGAAGAAGAAAATGCCCCACATACACAAGGAGTTGCATTGATGCTGTCCAAACAAGCACAAAATGCACGTATAGGATGGGAATCTCATGGACCAGGGATCATCAAAGCCTCATTCAAAACAAAGAAAGAGGGCATTACAATGAA